GGAAGGAGAAGAAGACATGGATGAAATATTCCTGAGTCACCAAAATCGGATAGTGCGCCGTTTGTACAGTGAGCGCCGATTGGAGTGTAGTCCCTGATTGGGACTAATTTCTGGTCCCAATTGGGGTACACTTTCTGGTCCAACTTTCTCCAAATTGAAATCCGATTGAACCGTTGCGATCAGACAGTCGAGCTCTATCCAACGATATACTTTTCATAATTATTTGTAATACTTTTTCTGACATCATATTTTTGGGTGTTTGACTTTAACAGAGTCAAAATTGGTTTAATTGACCTTTCTCATAAACGGTTCTCTCATTTAATTCATATCAATTATTCTCATGATTTATTTCAATAAATCATTACAAAGTTCACATCATAATTAATTAATTTATTTATTCTTGATTTGGGTCTGTACTCAGGTTCCCAATCAAGACCACACAAATAGTCCACATATTGGATTTATCTCGATTAGACTTATCCAGATTTTGATATTGGATATAAAAAAAATATTTCATATCGGCCCAAAGCCCAATAATAATCAAAACAAATTTGTTTAATCGAATAATTATTTAATAATAATTCTAGGGTATGTTTCAGGGCGTTACATGCATAATGAAATTTAAGTGTCCAGTGCATAGCATTTGTCTACGACAATACATATGGTACAACCAGATGTACGGTATTTCTTGTACGTGCACAACAAATATTTATTTGCGAGTAATTGAATACTTATTTTTCATATTTTTTTATTTTAGTTATGTATACATCTATCTTTTTTAATTGAAATGAGTTTTATATTGTGTTATTCGTAAATGTATATTTTGTATAACAACAACAACAACCCAGTTAAATCCCACAAGAGTAGGGTCTGGAGAGGGTGTGTGTAAGCAGACCTTTCCCCTACTCGAAAGTAGAGAGGCTGTTTCTAAAGAGACCCCCGGCTCAACGTCGAAAGTTGCATTGCTTGACGAACTGCTACTTGATTAATTAAAGAAGCGCAAACAGTTTAGATGTCCATTTTGATTTATTCCATTACACCCCAAAACCAAAAAATGGTGAAATTTTGGCCTTATCGAAGATGATGGAAATATATATATTTTGTATAAATATAATGAATATTATGTAGTTTTCAAATAACACACATATATTTTGTGATATAGATGTTCCAAATATCTACTCTTTCTGTCTCAGAATAGATGTTCTTGTTACCATTACAGCTCCTCTCTAATTTTTATTTGTTTATATATATACATTGATCATTAATTTGATAAGATAATTATTTTTGTCATATCTTATTTTATTATTTTTTATCTTTTATATGATGAATTTAGAATTGAAATGATGACATTTTGTATGTTGTTCAAAGAGTGATGTACATCGTGGTGGGATGATGGGAGTATAGAAATAGGAGAAAAAGACTAAAGTAATAATAAACATTGAAAATATACCAAAATAGAATTTTCTTGTTTTTATTTTTGAAATAGAAGTTAAAATATGTTTATAAATCCAATCATGATCGTATACATTACCAAAAAAGTATTGTAAAATATTCATATACAGTGTCACATTATTACATTGCGAATTCCTACTTTGAGAATAAAAACATGGAGCTTCTATTTTAATATTTTTTTTATATTTTACTCCTATTTAGTGTGATTTTTTCAAAAAATAAAGAAATATTCCAGATCAGTATTATGATACTCGAAAATGAGTTACTAAAAAAATACTCGAAAATAAATTTTCGCACAGATTTACGAAAACATTAAAAGTATAGTATGATACATGAACTCATTGTCTAGCCGAGACCCGACAAGTAAATATTGGATTTTGAAAAAAGTTTTTTTGTCCAAACTCGAAGACGATCGAACCTGAAATGACCTGGCCTACTAAAGATGTGTCAAACTTGATCGAATCCAAAACTGACGTAACTGACCCCTGAGTATTACTTGAATATGAAAATTATTGTAATAAAAATGTTTTTAATTATTTTCTTGTTACTCATATTTAGCAAATAAACTTATATTTTGAGATAAGTTTTTAGTGATTTCATATACTACCTCTGTCCCACTCTCTTTGTCCACTTTGACTTTTGGAACTGTTCATCTAAGCACTTTAACTCATCAAATTTCTCAATGTGTAAGTCTAAATATAGTCATGTGTGATCTTGTTTGATTTGTCTTAATATATAGATTATTAATATATAATTTCTATAATTTTTTAATATACAAATTACAAAATAAAATGGATTAAAGAAGTGCATTGGATGGTGTGCCAAAAGATAAGTGAACAATGAGAGTGGGAGAGAGGGAATAGTTATCTTACGTTACTGCCAAAAGTATATACAGTAATTTTCATTTTACTCATAATATTGTTATTTTACGGACCTAATTCCCAGCTCTTGTATTTTCCCTGGACGAATTTGGGGATCCAGAATCCAAAAGACGAAGAACAGAAAGCCAGCGATGATCGGATACCTGAATAAGGCAGTGCTGACGTCGTGCTTCGCCGGCGGCGTAACGGCGGCTCTATCCAGAATTTACCTCATTCACCGGGATGAAAAGGAAGACCAGTGCTCCACGACCCAAACGGTACGGATCCAACATTTTCCTCTGTTCTTCATCGGGATTTTTATTTCTATATTAGACATCGAAAGTTTGGAAATTGTTTGGTTTGGCACATGTAATCCCGTGGCTCTGAGCTGCTCTTCGCCCGATGGCAGGTTAAACAATTCGAAAGATATTTTGATAGTCGTATTTCTGCGCTGGAAAAACTGAAGGAGACTGATGCTGAAAAGCATTATGATCTTACTGAATAGGTAGGTTTTCTCCTTCTCTGGATTTAGATGCGATGCTTATTAATCGTGTTGGTTTCTACTTGGTGGCGATTAATGGATTTCAATGAACCCATGGGTGTTTGTAATAATTTATCCATGGTAGATGCATCTTTCTTTGTTTGGCGTTTCATGACATTGGAACAGTTCTGGATGTTTCATCTTAAGTTGACTGCAAAGTTTCTTGACAAAATCTGGGGTCTCCAGAAGTTTGCTAAATGATTACGTACTCATACTCCCTTATGAAGAAAATGGCTTTCTCTAGGAAGTCTTGGTACTCATTTGGATCTATTTTCTTTTTTCTTATGGTTGTCTTTGGTTGCTTACAAAAAATTGAAATTGATATTTACATGCACCACCAAAAAGAAACTCCCCTAGGGAATAAGTGTTAGTTAACTTCTTGATAGACTCAGGCGTATCCATGGGGCAACACCATTTCGGTGCCATCGCCATTCGTGACCTCTTTTCTCAAAGTTTTCCAGTCCGAAATATTTAGGGCCAATTTAAAAAAAAACCTTAATATCAGATTGACGATACTCAGTCGGTCAATAATCTCTCACTCTCTCCAGTCGCTGTTTGTCTTTGAACTTCTTCGCACATAACATCGCCATTGCAAATTTTCTTCTTCTTTGCTAGTCGTGGCTTGAGAAGGGATGAATGTTGCGTGTCGCGCGACTCTGGCCTGGGAACACTGCAACTTTGCGTCTCTGCTACCGGCCCCTCTTTGTGACCTCATGGACCTCTTGGGCACTGTAAGTAATAAGCCCCCAATTACTTCTTTGCAATCCTGCCTTAGTGTTTTTTTAAAAATGTCATTTACTCTGGCAGTGTGGCTTGGGAACACTGCACCAAGCTGATTTCAACAACAACCTAGTCGGGTCCCACAAAAGTAGGGTTTGGGGAGGGTGTGTGTAATGTGTATGCAGATCTTACCCCTACTCGAAAGTAGAGAGGTTGTTTTGAAAGAATTCCCTGACTCAAGCACCACAAGTAATCATGTACGTAGTCTGACCCTTATGTTTAAAACATAGAGCGGCTGTTTCCGGATGACTCGTGATGAGCGTCAAAAATTTCTTTGACTAATTGCTACGGAGTACTTTAGAAGTGCATACAGTTTGAAGAGCCATTTTGTTTTACTCCATACCACTAACCCAAAACATAGTGAATCTTTAGCTCAACTGGAGATGATGGAAAGATGCACAAAGTTGATTCCAAACTCAAAGAATGACTAGGTGTGCATACTTTGTGGCCATATATATAAGTAGAGGGCGGGATTACAAGATTTAAACAACATTTGTTAGGGGGCATCGTAACTCAAACAAATGACTATCACCTTAGGGTGTTTTTAAATGAATTTTGTGTTGTGTTTTTATTCCCAACATGAATATTTAGATCAAGTACTCTGTTATTTTTGCGTGAATGCATGCCTTATACACTCGTGAATTTAGTTAATTTGTTGTGTGACTTGTGTCATGTGGCGACACGCCATATTTGTGCCATCGCCATAGGAAATTGGCCCATTGCCATTAATGTTTCCACGTGCCATGACAACCATGTTGATAGTATATTCATATTTGTATCTCGTGCTATTAAAGTTACTAAGTGAGCTAATGCTCATGGATAAGGTGAAACACCCCCTGATCTAATTGTTCACTTTGATAGTGCTCTGGTTGGTAGTTTGAACTGCAGATTGGTCATTCTTGAAGCCGATTCTCGCAAGACAAAGAGAGGAAGGTCCCAATCATTGTAGTAATCCCATTGCAAGTGCTGGCTAATACTACTGAGTAGGAAGCATAATGCAGAGCGTTTCAAAGTTCGAACATTGCTTCTTCTTCTTCTTTTCTTTTCTCACAGCATCTAATCACAATATCACTTGTACAAATTGGAACCCAGATTTATGTTATTCTCCGTGATTATTATGTTGTGCATTGACACGAGTGTGGTGTTTCGGTGTTTCCACTGCGGAAACTAAAATGGAGTACTAGGTTTCAACTTTGTGTGCCATTTGTGTTGGGATCCTGTTTCTCTACTTGCTTGTTTTATTACTCTTTGGCTTAGATGGCCATTTGATCAGCATGGTTCCAATTATTTTGTGTTTCTGACTCAATAACAATGTTGTATTTCAGCATGTTTCCAATGACTTTTTAGTGCTATTGACTCGATTGCAATGTGATATATGTTCACACTTTTCTCAAACTAATAACGAACAATGAGTCAATGTCCGATGGGACTCAAACCTACCTGAACTTCCATTGATTTTTAGTATGAAGACTAAGTGACATCCGCAACTTCGTGGATGCCATCAGTATTTGGCCAATGAATTTTTCTACGGGTGGAACTTCCAAATCATATTCTCCAACAATTCGACTGTGGCTATTAAGCTATTTGATAATGGCACATCTTGGAAAATCTCATTTTCTTGGAGTCATTTTCTTAAAATGATTTTCCTAGTTTCCAAACTGACCCTTAGAGTTTCGGTATCTACAATCTCCAGCAAATCTTAAGGACTTTATTCGTTTGACTTTCACAAAATGTTAAAAAAAATTTGTTAAAAACTTAAAAAATCTATATAATTAAAATTTGTTCAAGTAAAAAGAAATCTTGGAATCACATCTTAATCACTAAATTGAAAATAAAGTAATTAAGAAATATTTTGTCCGTTCTCTAATGGAAGTGTGAGAATTTTTTTTTCGGAACTGATACTTGGTCTCTTTTTTTTTCTTCAAAAAACTGTTAAAAGCCTTATAATTGACAATAGAATTGATTCTTCGACGCCCAACCCACTCCTCAAACACGTGCAATGTCTCACATGTTGTTTTCTTTCACACCTATGATTCCACTAGGGTGTCTCCCAAATTGTAGCAGCACCCAAATGCCTCTACATAAAGCATCATTGTTGAACATATTGTGACATGGGGACCAGCTCCAATTTATTCACATTCTCATTGGGTAAAAAACTAATAAAGCTTTTATGCTATTCTCTTCTTTTTTACAGGTAAAATCTGCAGTAAAAAGGTACAGTACACCATCCACCACCACCACCTCCTGAGATGAATGAACATGTGTGGAACAAAATGTGTGTGTTTCCTGGGAGGTGGTAGCCTGGGAATCTGGGAACAATCATATGCCCATCCAGGCTGAGTTGCTTTGTGTCCCATGTTTTTGTTTTGTAATCATGTTACATCATGGCCTGAAACACACCTGTTAATTAACTTTCCAACCAGGGGAACCCCGCATTTGACATCATAGTGTTTCACAGACGCACAATACTGACCGTTCTCGTATAAAATGTCCGACAGTTATTTTCTGTGCTCTTAGGACACTACGGTGTGAAATATAGTGTCAAACGTGGGGTTTCGGCAATTTTTTTTTGTTAAAATTTTACAGCCAAACACAAATTATTTTGATGGGGTGAAGGGCCGTCTGTGTAAGTACAGGCAGTCTTTGGGTTGGGGATGGTCCCAATTCATGGCCTAAACCCATTCATTTGATGTAATGGACGACCAAAAACAATAATGGCTATTTCCTCTTATTTACTACTCTACCCCACATCATGTTAATTTAGGATATCGCATTTATTCTTTGAAAAATTAAATACTCCGAAATGTTTTAGTTATATTCCTTTACATAACCAACCAAAATACTCTTTATATCTTGATATATTTGTTCGATTTTTGTTTTCATAACGTCTCAAAATATTCCTTTACTTTTCAAAACGGTTCATGTAAAATAATAATCAAAATACTCTTTGTATCTTGACATATTTGTTATGTTTTTGTTTTTATAACGTCTCGATATATTTGTTTACTTTTCATTGGCAAAACAAATGTCACAGTGGCCGCTTTGTCCTCAAACCAACATCTTATTTGATTGAAAACTACCCACTAACCATAAAATAAGAATATCTTTTTATTTGTTAATTTTCATGCAATGTCCATTTGTCTTTTTTAGCACACGGACAAATACATTGAAACGAAAGGAGTCAAAGATGGTGTAAAGAAAAGTTAGGATGAAAGTTTTGAGAGGGGGAATTCATTTTTTCTAGTTTTGATGCGGACGTGTTTACGATGGATGATGTAAATATGAATCACTCATTTCTTAATAAGAATCCCCTCTTCTCCTTTCCTCATTTTGTGGAATGATGATCTTAATTACGGAGTATTTCTATTCTTATTTCTCCTCACCGTTGCCCTGTTCTAACGACAATCTAATACTCTGTAGTTTGTTGGATGATAAGAGAAAATGTGTGGAAAGAAAGTGAAGAGAATAAAGAGAAAAAGTATGTTGCTTGTTTGATAAGAAAATGATCGGAGGAGGAAATTAAAAAAAGATATTTTCTTTTCTTTGGTTGGAGAGAAAAGTAGAAGAAGAGTAATTTTGATAATGTAAAATGACTATTTTATGAGAGAAAACTTTTGTGAAATTTACTTTTCTCTTATATTGCTCATCCAATTATGAGAGAAAATTTTTGTGAAATTTGACTGAATAGGACTTAAACATTAGTCATTTTCCAATGTAATACTTAAACTTTTTTATTCCCTAAATAGAACTTAATAATGACTAGTGAGAAGAATAATGTCCAAGTGATACTGGACATTTAGTTGAATAATGATTAATAGAGAATGAATAATGGTCTTAGATTTGGAAATAAAAACATATGATCCTATGCTGAAAAAGTCATTATATTTTGATCCTATTTAAGTAAATTACCCAAAACTTTTTGAATTGCTTTTCATCCTTTACTCTTTTATTTTCTTACCATATTTTCTCATCAACGAGAAAAACATATTGTGATATGAGTTTTTTCTTATTCATTTTTTCTTTTTCACCAAATTCTCACCATCCAAATAGTCGTTCTTAAGAAACATTCATTATCCACGAATGATGGTCAACTCTTGTTGTAGGTAAACTCTTAAGACTTCATTAGTAAAAGCCTATAAGCTCTATAACAATCATTCTTAGGCCACAACCACAAGATTGAGCTTTTGGTTGAGTTGGTTTTTTGGCATGGTATCAGAGCCTTGATGACCACTTTGCGCCACCTAGTTTTAAAAAATTAAAGGTTTCACATGCAAGGCTCAAAAAGGTCACACCTGCACGTGAGGAGACGTGTTAGAATATATAACAATCATTCTTGGGCCACAACCACAAGCTTGAGCTTTTGGTTGAGTTGGTTCCTTGACAAGCTCATCAGATGCAATTTTATCAGACTTTCACACGTGCCTTTAAACTTCAAAGTGAAAAGATTCATTCATGCCTTGTTTGGATGATATATAAAAGAAAATAGAGGAGAAGAAAATAAGGAGAAAGAGAATGGAGAGAAAAGAACATCAAGAACTTTAGTTTCTCTATGCGTTTTCATGGATTATTTGACAAATTAATATTAATGTCACTTTTTGTTTTAAAGATTTTTTGACATAATTTTTAAATATGTCAATTATATTTTTTTCTTATTTCTATACTAGTCTTTAAATAAAATAAATTAAAAAAATTATTTTACTTATAGTAATGTGACAAAATTTTGACAGAAAATTGTTGTCGGGTACCCTCGGTTTTGTGATAAGAACTCACAGGTCTCATCTTTTTAAAAAATATATTCCGGAGTACCTTTAATTATTCGAAAACTAACTCCGGGGAGACTTTCCGTCCTTCCCTCCGTTAAATTCATTTTCTCCGTTAACTTTTCATCATTTTCTTTCTAAAAATTGTTGTTAGGTACCCCCAATTTTATAAAAGTAACTTTAAGGTCCCATCATTTTTAAAAATATACTCCGGGGTACCCTAAAATATCCAAAAAGTTACTATGGGGGGTTTTCCTTTTTTTCCTATTATTATTATTATTATTATTATTATTATTCTAGTGCGTGTAGCGAAAATCCAATGCAACACAATAGGCAATGCGGCAGCGAGTTACAACTGCGGAAGATAGTGATGGAGTGACTAATAATAATAATAATAATAATAATAATAATAATAATAATAATACTCTGTAATATAATAAAAGTAACATTAGTAATAGTAATAATAATAATAATAACAATCACAATAATAATAATAATAATCTCAGAATAAGAATAAGAATAAGAATAATAATAATAATAATAATAATAAAGGAAAATTCTTCCAAAGCAAGTTTTTGGATATTTTAGGGTACCCGGAATATATTTTTAGAAATGATGGGACCTGGAAGTTATTTCTACAAAATTGAGTGTACCTGACAACAATTTTTAGGAAGAAGAAGATAAAAAGTTAACGAAGATAATGAATTTGACGGAGGGATAGACGGAAAGTCTCCCCGAAGTTAGTTTTCAGATAATTAAAGGTACCTCGGAGTATATTTTTAAAAAAGATGGGACCTGTTATTTTTTATCACAAAACCGAGGGTACTTGTCAGCAATTTTCTGAAATTTTGAGGCATAAAATGTATCGTAAGGAACTACTCCCTCCGTCCTATAATGATCTTCCCGGTTCGCAAAACGAAGAAAAATCCTAAGTTTTTTCAATCTATTTTATTTAAATATTGGTATAGAAATAAAAAATAAAACATACATATTTAAAAACTACATCAAAAGTTCAACAAAACAAGTGGTGACAAGAATATTTTATTTTATCATATAGGCCATGAAAAAACACAAATAAATATAAATTCCCGTGAAGTTGGAATAATGCTCTGGGAAGATCATTATAGGACGGAGAGAGTAATAGAAAAAAAGAATAAAGGGCTGCAACATGGGAAGCGAAATTAAGTACTCCATAGATATCTATCAAATTTAAAATTTGTGACTCATTTTCGTTTCTTCTTGGTACTTATAAAGAAATA